AGTGAAAGTATTTGCTTCTTTTGGAAATTCTGTGGTCTAACAAGATCTTTAGCCTTTCGCAGTTGTCTGCATTCTGTGATCCTTCCTCTCATTTCTCCAGAATCTTGCTTCTGTCATCACATGTGATGTTCACTCTGGCATCTTTTCTCTTTTCTTTTTTTCCTTTTACCTTTCCTCTTTCCTTCCCTTCCCCTCCCCTTCTCTCTCCTCTCTCTTCCCTTCCCATCTCTTCCCCTCCCTCCCACTCCTCTCCTGCCTATGAAAGAAAGGACCATCGTGATTAAACCAGGGGTGCATTTAGACAGTCATGTAAAAGGGCCAGTTGTATGTTGAAGGATTGAAACAAGACTCATTTTTTAAGTATATAAATAGTTTTTAATTTAACACTGTGATTTACAAAGTTGTTCATACTACAGTTCTTTCAGGTATTTAAGTATTTGTTGTTCCAACACCAATCCCAATACCAGTGTGACCTTCCCTCCACCAGTGTTCCCATGTTTCCCCACCCACCCCCATGTATGTCCTAGCAGGTACAGTCAAATTTGATGCTTAGTGCTAGTTACAACAAAATGGCAAGTAGACTGTTCAGAAAATAGATCCATAAAAGTCAATTTGTGATCACTGTTATATCTTACAATGGTTGCTGCAGTCATTGTGTGAAGATTTACTGATTGGTTGGTGCTGGTTGGGCCGTTTTTGTTACTGAGCTTGGTGGGCTTCTGCCCAATGTTCCTCTCAAATCTGCTATGCTCCTACTGGGTTGTTAGTACTGTGAAATATGGAGGAGGTGCTGCATGGCTACATGTGTGGCCATGTTCTCCAGGAGGTATAGAACTGGGCCATTCATATGTCAGAGGAGGTCTAGTGCCAGGTCTCTCTGGAAGGGAGAGGAATATGCTTGCTCCCATTCTGAGAAGTCCTCAGAGTTTTCAGCCTGGAGATAAATCTACCTGGGTTGATTCAGTGGCATGGCAACTTTCCTGAAATTATACCTTTAATAGAAAATGAAATGTAGTATATACAGGTACTCTTTTATAAGGCTGTATTTGTGAAATCTATCTTATACCACAAACTAGTGTCACTTATTAAAAACAACAACAAAGACAAAATGTTTCTTAATCATATCTCCAAAGTTCCCTTTGTAATGTAAAGTCATATGTACAGGTTTGGAGAAATAGTATGTGGATATTTCTTAGGTGAGATATGGTATCTGTTAAATAGAAAAATATAGATGAGGACCAAAGGGATAATGCATTCCTTGCATGAAGTCAACCTCAATTTGGTCCTCTGGCAAACTATATGATTCCATGAGCCCCATCAGAAGTGATCTCTGAGTACAGAGTCAAGAGTAAGCCCTGAGCACTTAGGCATGCCTCTCCCCTCCCCAAATAAGTATGAAATTATATTATTTTATTATAATAAAATTGCAGTATAATAAAATAATTTTACCTGAAAAATAATAAAAGGAAAGAACAAATAATAAAAAATATAATTACATTTACATGAGAGAGAGAACAAAAAGGGAATGCCCTGCCACAGAGGCAGGGTAGGGTGGGTGGGATGGGGGGTGGGAGGGATGCTGGGACCCGTGGTGGTGAAGGATGGGCGCTGGTGGAGGGATGGGTACTTGATCATTGTATAATTGAAACCCAAGCACAAAAATTTGTAAGTCTATAACTGTACCTCATGGTGTTTCACTAATAAAAATACATATATATACATTTAATAAAAAATTGTGGCCATTATCATATCACTAAGAAAAAAATGTTTGTCTTTCTTTAACACAATATAGACCAAGAGCTTCTCAATAAGAATAAATCTATGCACAGTCTTGTTCATAACCAGCTGCATATGTTCCACTGTATCCCAGTTACTATGTGCATGCATTAGCATAGTCCTAGCTCATCCTCATCCTGGGAGAAGGAAGAAACATCTTATGAGTAATTTGCAATGAAGTTTTCTTCCTTGTGTACCCAGAATACCATCTTGTTGACCTGCGGGATATCCCCCCAACAAGAACATTCTGCTGCATGTAATGCATGTGTATTACTAAGAATGAGCTCCCCTCGTCCTTAAGACATTGTATTTCCAAGAGAGATCCAAAAACAAAAAAAAAACATTATGTCCGGATGTAAGAATCAAATCTTAAACTATGGGACAGGTAGTCTCTCATTTTCCTGAGACAAGAGATAGATCAGCTGAAAGGAAAATTAGACAAAAACATTCTAATGAGGGCAACTGAGAAACCATGCAGACGGCAGGGCACTTGGGACAAAAGAATCTCTCTCCTTCTTTCCCTTTCTTTCTTGGCCCCTTCAGTCTGTACTGCCTGGGTGGCCCAAGGACCACCCAATCCTTTCAGTGTATTCAGGTTATTCTCAGCCAGAGGGTACAAGTGAATTTCAATTGTCTTGCTTTATTCTTCATCTTTAAAGATCAAGTCCAGAGATACAAAGAAACTCAGTTTTATAATTTTGATTTTATAGCTTACTGTTTAAATGACCTTATTAGAAAAGAAATTGCGATCCATAATGAGATAATAATAATAATAATAATAATAATAATAATAATAAGCCCAGAGAGTGGGAGATCTTTCCCAAGCTCATTTCAAGCCAAATTTTCTTTTCAAATTACTATAAAAGGAAAAACACAGTGCATTGCATACATTTTTATACCATTTTAACAGCCGACTCTTTACAGAATATACTTTTTCAATCACTTTCACTGTAAAATAGTGCCCTTTCTAAGCACATACTGAGTCTCAGAAATACATAATTGATGAATCACGATATGAAAATTGTGGGAAAGCCTCATTTTGTCAAGCCGTGTCAAAGCTGTGAAGTATTTGAGGGTGTCCGAGTCTTTGATGCTATTTTTAGTAAAGCAGACGATTCTGAGTGTTTTACATTTATAATCCTCACAGTGACCAGGAGGGCAAAGGCTGTTCTGCCCCCATTTGACACACAGAGAAACAGAAGGGTTAGATTATTCATCGAGAGTCACAGAGTGTGCTCCCACACTGAAGTTCCCTCAGAGTCAGGAGCAGTACTTCATGTCTTTGCCTCTTTCTTATGACCATAGTGAAGGGACTGCTCATGGAGATTTGGGGAGGGTGGGACATTGGGTGTTTTGCTGCACAGTGAAGTGCTCTAGTCATACTCTTGCCTCTGTGGTTCAAGGTTCACTCCTGGCAGTGCTCATGAGACCCTCTGGTACTGGGGATCAACTGGAGTCAACTGCATGCTGGGCCAAGTCTGAACGTCTATCTCTTAACTATCTCTTTGCTCCTTTCTTTTTTGTAAAATTTGAGATGCTTTCATTGAAATACCATTGTTATAAAACATTACTTGATACACAAGTGCTTTTGTAACTAAGTATAATTTTTTAAATGATTCATTAATTTATTTTCGGTCTTATGGCTTGAATATAATTGTCGCCATTTGGTTTTCTATGATATTTTCTTTGTTTTATAACAGTTTGACACCTCAAACTTTGTTTTAATTATAACTATGTCTTTATTTTATTCTTAAAAAATGATTGTAGTTGCAGTAGTGTTAGCATTTGTGCTTTCGGTTTACCAACTTATTGCCTCTCCACCAGCATAACCTCCGTCACTTCATAGATGGTCTCATTTCATCTTTTAAAACTTCATCTTTTAAAGTTTATTTTGTTTTTATTAGGGAGTCAAACTTGTTAGTATTTAGGGCTTACTCCTGGCTCTGTGCTCAGAAATCACTCATGAAGGAACTTAGGGGACGTGATACAGTGTTAGGGATCAAACCTCGGTTGCCTGCATGTGCCTTACCCTCTGTACTATCTCTAAGGCCCCAAAAGATTCTTCTTCTGAAGTGAATAAAAATATAATCAACTGTTCAATTATGAGTAAAGGACACAGTATCCACCCTTATCTGAAAAATAGACTGGATTCCTCACTTAATTTTTCTGTGTATTTTTTTTGTTTTGCTTTGTTTTGTTTTGAGGTCACATCCAGCTGTACTCAGGACTTAATTCCAGCAGTCAGAGATCTCTCCTGCTAGGGCTTTGAGGACCATATGGGAGAACAGGGAATCTAACCCAGGTTTGCCATGTGCACCCTATCCACTGTGCTGTATGTCCAGCCCTCTCATTTTGTTTTCTGATATACATGTACATTTTTATCATATGTTCTTTGATATCTTACTAGTCAGTTCTGTGTGTGTATGTATGTGTGTGTCTGTATGTGTGTGTCTGTGTGTGGTGGGGGTTCAGGCCTTGGTCAGGCCAGACCTATGATGTCGTTGTGTGTGGATCTAGGTTGGGAACCATCAGCATAGACAGTTGTGTTTCCTGGGAGATCAGTCTTCCTTTCTTATGAACCTGCCAAACATGATGGCCACGTAGTACTGTATTGCAAACCATAACACACAAAGGGGGGTGGGGAGAGAGAGAGAGAGAGAGAGAGAGAGAGAGAGAGAGAGAGAGAGAGGTGGAGAGAGAGATAGAGAGAAGGAATATGCCTGCCACAGAGGCAGGGGGTTAGAAGAGGTGGGGGTGGCAGGAGGGATAGTGTGAACATTGATAGTGGAGAATGGGCACAGGTAGAGGGATGGGTATTCATCACTGTATGACTGTGATACAGTGATAATCACGGAAGTTTGTAAGTCTGTAACTGTATCTCACGGTGATTCATTAATTTTTTTAAATTAAAAAAAAGAAGCTGCAGAAAGAACTATACGCAGTGAACTTTGGGGGCAGTAAGTAGTCCTACAGTAGTAAGTAAGGGACAAGCTTGTGAAACAGGGATGTTATCTATAGAATACAAAGGCTGAAGGACCTGCTCATACTAGGACCCACTCAAAAGGTTTGATTTCTCGTGTTAGTGTGAACATGTAACGGGACCACAGATATGGAATGTCAAAGTGTTATTTTTCAATCTCAAAAGTCTAGTCCTCCAATATCCAGTTTTGGCCTGTAAGACTTTTATTTTTCTTTTGTTCTTTCTTAGATTGGAAACTTCTTCCAAAAAGGGCTTCTGCCGTGAGTGACACACATGACAGCATGCTTGCTCTGGTGCAGAATTGACAACAAGAGATTTCAGAAGCATAAATTATTTTGACAGTAGAGCAGCTGGTGATCATTGGTCCTGGAACTCCAAGGGAGGGGAAAAAAAAAAACCTTCTTGCCCGAGGCGTCCGTTTGGTTTATCTTTCCCTGTGATGGTATATTTTATAACAACTTGATTCGCATCAATGGATACCCAGATATTTGTTCAGACATAAATATGGGCGCATTGAGAGGATATTGATGTTAGGAGTGACACTTTGCTGTGACCAGGAATTACTCCTGTGCTCAGGAATCCAGGCGGTGCTCTGGGGGACTCTATGCAGTGCCAGGATCTAACTGGGGTTGGCTGCTTGCAAGACAAGCACCTAAAGGGTGATGTTTATTTTTAGGTGAGATTCATATTTCAGTTGGTTAGCTGAGTAAAGCAAATAGGCCCTCGCTAATGTGGGCAGGCTTCATCTAATAAGTCAACCAAAAAGTGAAACCTTTTTTATTTGGAGGAAGTCATACCCAGAGCCATACCCAGAGAAGTTAAGGACTGACTCCTGGCTCTGTGATCAGAGATCAGTCCTGGAAAGGCTCAGAGGACCATAAGTGGTGCGAAGGATCAAACCCAGGTCAGCTTCATGAAAGGCAACTCTGGTCCTTCGGTTGACCTTTTATCAGATTGAAAGTTCTCCAGTCTGAATGGTTGGTTCTGCTGGGACTTGCCCTTAACCTGCCTTTCTTTTTCTTCTTCCTTTTTTTTTTTGACTTTTTGGGTCACACCTGGTGATGCACAGGGGTTACTCCTGGCTCTGCACTCAGGAATTACTCCTGGCGGTGCTCAGGGGACCCTATGGTATGCTGGGAATTGAATCAGGGTCGGCTGTGTGCAAGGCAAACAGCCTCCCAACTGTGCTATCTCTCCAGTCCCTTAGCCTGCCTTTCTTCTCCAGACTAGAATCTAACACCTTTTGGAGAAGACCTTGTCACCTTGATCTCAAGCTTTTAGGTTTGAACTGGAGTTAATACCCAAGAGAAGTTTAAGAGACATTTCCTAACTTTGAGTAGAATATGGTTCTGTTCCCTCTACTTTTTCAAGTCCATACTTGGAAGTCGTTTTTCCCATTTATGCCCTGTAATTTATTGTCTAGCTCTGCGTATTTTTTCATTAGAGGTCTATTTGTGCCCACTTTACCCCCAGGGGAAAAGATGATACAGAACTCTCATCTGTCTTTGTTACTATGTATTATTACTTGGGAAACGGCAAGGCAAGTGGCATATAAATAAATAAAATGTTCCAGAAACTTTAGCTCTCGCTCTTAGGCACTGGGGGAGAAAGAGCCAATGTTTAAGTTTTTAAAAGACAGACTTAATAAAAAGCTGCCATTTTTCCATAGTTCTGGAGAAAAAGGACATTCTTTTCAAGCATATGTAATTTGTCTTTGAGGATTCAAAGATGTTATTGAGTCTGGCTTTTTTCATTTTGAAAAAAAAATCTGTTTGTAACAATGCTTATTTGGTTTTATCACAGCCTGAAAAACTCAGTCTTATTGGGCTTACTGTACAGATTCAGATATCAAGTAATAAAATTAATCCACTGAAAGTAACATAATCTTTTATTAGGAAAGGTTAAGGAAGCTGATTCATGTTCTATTGCTCTGGGAACTCATTTTGGCTAATCTCTTTTTGATTTCCCCAATCATGTGGCATATCCATAAAACCATTCCAGAAACTCATTATTCCCAGGCCCCAGGGAATCTCCCCCGGAGCACTCTCTTTGAGGTGAAGTAAAGGAAGAAATTCATTCTATTTATATCTTCTATGAAGCTTATGGCCAATGTGTAAATGTGCAGATTGTCAGCACAAAGAAGACCATGCAATTATTTAAAGAAAATTGCAGAGTACATCCCAACCCAAAGGGTTGATAATTGGTTGCTCTGGTATAATGAATATCATTGAATATAGCCTCACCACACTGGCTCTAATGGTATATATAACTAACATAATATATATAAATTATGTATTTATATATTATATATTTAATATATATTTTAATTGGAAATGCATAACTCATGCATATATATGTACATACAAGAACTACATATTTCCAAACAATTTAAACTCTAGTGCTCTGAGACAGAGTTAGGTACAATCAGCTAGCTAAAAGTCAAACAGAGGCATGACTCCCAATAGCCATGTACTTGTGCTGTTCTCCTCACATTGACATGGGACTGATCCTGTGACTCAATTTTTCAATAGAATGGGGTAGACATGACAATGTGGTTATGTTACTGAGGGCCTGATCTCCCATATAAGAAATTCTGTTGCTCTGAAAGAGAGACCACCGGAGACAGAATATGGAAATACCATGTAGAGAGATGCTATGCAAACAAAACATAAACAGAAAGACTATAGAGGCCAATGACACAGAAAGAGAAATTGAAATGTCCCAGCACCCCAGTTACGCCAGGCAGCCACAGCTGAGTACCAGGAATGTGAATAATGCTATCTTTGATCCTAAATGTGTAGCCAATATCTGAGTGTAGTTGTATGAGGAATCATAAGTGAGACCCACTGAAAAAGTCAGATACATAGCAATAGTGCAGTGGGTAGAGGACTTACACCACATGTGGCCAACCCCCAGCACCCTGGAAGGTCCCGTTAGTATCACCAGGAGTTATCCATGAGCACATAACCAGGAGTACCCCCTAAGTACCACCAGGTGTGGCTCGAAGCCAAAAAATAAATCAGATAGTGAAGTCCTACTCAGCCCAGAGCATGATGAGAAATCACAGAACTCAGAATAGTTATTGCTATCAAGTCACAGCTTTTGAAGTTAGCTGTTTTTTAATATATATCCTGAAATATATATCCTGAAATAATATAGTTTAGCCATTTTATATGGCAGGTGAGCCACTGAAGAGCTAACCTATAAACTCATTTAACTAATGCCATCAAGTTATTTAGAAAAACATTAGTATTAGAACTCATCTCTCTGGATGGAAATTCAGATATTCACCTTAATTTTCTGAGTTACTTTGGAAAAAGTACTGTAAAACATCTCTGACTCATTAGTTCCACTAATGATCTGGTACCCACAGGAAATTTTAAAAAAATTGAAAATATGTATTTAAGGGTGTTCATCATAGTATTGAGAAGTTTTCCATGGAGCTGGAGAAGTTCTATAAAGAATACCACACCTTCTACAAGATCATTGTGGGTGATTTTAATGCCAAGATAGGACCGAGAAGATCAGCTGAAGAACTTTACATCAGTACCCATGGCTTTGAATGGAACGAACAGGGTGAGAGACTGTCTGAGTTCATCATGTCGACCAAGACCATTCATGGTAACTCACAGTTCCAGAAGGCAGAATCTAAACGTTGGACATGGGAGTCTCCCGGTGGACGATTCCACAACGAAATAGACCACATCATATTCAATGATGGTTTTGCCTGACCGATGTCGCTGTTGTCCCAAAATTCCAAACGGGATCGGACCACCATCTCCTTTGTGCAAAATTCTACTTCACAGAATGGGGAGAAAGGGCTGCAAAGTTTAAAAAGAGAACTCCCAGAATGACCATCAACTGGGAATTCTTTGGCACTATTGCAGCAACATGGGAAGATGCCATTGTTGACAACATTGAGGAGGAATACGATCAACTGGTTCAGCACATCCATGACTGTGCGAGGAACATCAAGAGAGAGATAGCCACAAAAAACCACCTGTCTTCGAAAACTCTTGAGCTTATTCACCAATGTGGTTTGGTGCATGCCTCAGGCAACCGCAAGTGAACATCCAAGTTCGCAAAGCAGTGCAGAGATGCGATCAAGGAAGACCTCAAAGAGAGAAGAGCAGAAGTGCTAGTAGATGTGGCAGAAGCTGGGAAAAGTATTCGTAACGCCCGCCTGTCCTTTGTCAACTACAAGACCAAGATGACTGCCCTCCGATGTCCTGATGGATCTATCACATCCTCCAGAACAGCAATGGAGAAGATTATCCATGACTTCTACTCAAATCTCTTCGATAGCCATGTCTACTTGCCGACATACCAAATTCCACAGGATGGATATGTTGTTCTCAATGTTCTCCCTTCCGAAATCTGACACGCCATTTCATCAGTAAAGAAACGAACAGCACCCGGCCCAGACAAGGTCAGACCTGAACACCTGAAGAACCTGCCATCAGTACTCATCAATACACTGGCTCGGCTCTTCACTCGCTACCTGTCTGAATGCAAGGTTCTGTCCCAATGGAAAACCAGCAGGACTGTACTACTGTTCAAGAAGGGAGACATCCATGACATTGGCAACTATTGCCCTATCTGCCTATTGTCTGTCATCTACAAGTTGTTCACTCGAGTCATCCTAAATAGGATTGGCAGAACACTAGATGAAGGACAACCATGTGAGCAAGCCGGGTTCCGCAAAGGATTCAGCACCATCGACCATATCCACACGATAACCAAGCTCATTGAGGTTTCTCGGGAGTTCAAGATGCTGTTCTGTCTAACATTCATTGATTTAAAGAAGGCCTTTGATTCTATTGAGACAGAAGCAGTCATTGAAGCCCTAGCCAATCAGGACATTCAAGCTCAATACATCAAGATCCTCCATGAGCAGTATTGCGAATCACTACCAGGATCTCACCATTATACAAAGAAGTAACCATTGATGTCAAGAGAGGGGTGCGGCAGGGTGATACCATTTCACCGAAACTCTTCAGTGCCACCCTCGAGAACATCATGCGACGACTGGACAACTGGAATGGGAAGGAATGGGAGTCAAGATAGATGGTCGGCAATGACACCACCTCCGCTTTGCTGATGACATTGTTTTAATAACACCAAACATCAGCCAAGCGGCACAAATGGCCGACTTTGACCGTGAGTGTGGAAAGGTCGGACTACAGCTGAATCTTACGAAGACGATGTTTATGAGAAACAGCCTCATTCCTGATGCCCCATTCGCTCTCAATGGAAAGACCATCTCCGAATGCAACAGGTATGTGTACCTAGGTCGAGAAGTCAACATGACAAATGACCTGGCACCAGAGCTGTGCAGGAGGAAGAGAGTGGCTTGGAAAGCCTTCAAGAGCTTTGA